GCACTGTGAATGACTTGTTTTGGATGGTTACTGTCAGCTTTAGAAGTGTGTTTCTTATTAAGGGTTTACAATAAATTGTAATCTCATTAGTGCTGTTAATCCCCTTGTAAAGTTTAAGGTCTAGAAAGTGGACGAAGGTTGTTCCATAGTAGAAAAAAAAAGCAAATTAAAGGAAAAACCTGACAAAATGAATGGGGAAACAGGAAGACGATGCCCCACTCACAGGGCACAAGGGGTCACTGAGTGGTTTGATGACACCATGATATCATCACTATATCTTTTCCATAAAGCAATCTTGTATAAAAATGTGTTTTGGAGTGGGTTACAAATTAATTTCTCTTCCCATAAACCCATAATAAGACAAGTATAGGATGGCCCGTAGCTTGGACTACCCATACTTGTAAGGAATTGGTCAGAATCATTTCTGTCAGAGTAAGCAGAAATTCATAAGGAGGAAAAAATCCCCGTTTGGACTAGCAGTGTTATGATATAATGGTATTGATGATAACCGTGACATTTAATAAAAAGAATATTGATATAATTTTAATAATACACATATTATAATATTGTGTTGACAGATATTAGGATTAGGATTTTTTTGTTCACCTGGTTGAATTATCTCTGTCCATTAAGTGTAATTGTTTTTTTGTAGGCTTTTATACAGTTACAGTTACAGACTCTCTCCCCTCCTCCCTATGCTCATGTTTGAGTCTAATTCATTTGCGAAAAGAGACAAAACACACAATAAACACAGTTAAAGGTGAATTAGACTGATAGTATTATATTTCGTTTTTCAAATTTTCTATAGACATCTCAATAATATCATTATCATAAATTCTTTTGGCCATGTGTAGTGAAAATCTGATATCCTGACAGCCCTAGTCTGGACATTTGTTGAAGTAACCAGCGAGAGCATTATTACCTCAACACAAACCCAAATAGTGTAAATACAGTGGTATTACATTTTTCAACATTGCTTAAAGTGAATGTGTACACCTGTGGCCTAAATTTTTAAGAAGCATGCAGTTTGGCAAACAGGCCAAGCTTATAATCTGGCAATAAACAATACTGTTCATGAATGTGGCTGTCTGGTGCAGTTAAGCTCACCTCCCTTCAGGTTTGTCCATATAAAAGTTTGTGTTTATTCAAGTGCTGAATATGCCAAATTCATAAAATTTGTGGAAGGAGTGACAAAAAATTATTTTTTCCATTAATAAATCTAGTTAGGGAAGTCTGAATTCATGAAGTCTGACTGTTTCTTTTTTCATCCTTCATACTGCTGAGAGGTGAATGTCAATAAATACTCAAAACATTGACATTCAACATTTTCGCCCTCTAACAGCTGTCGCTATTGAGATAAAGGTGAAGCTGAATGTGGTCAGTGCCCACTGGTCCAAAGCACTGAACACCCATTTCACAAGCACCATAAGTGGTACACATAAGAAGTGAAATGAGGCCCATTGCCCTCGCTTGTAGTAAGCACTGCCTGAAATAATCAGGGTGATAACAATAGATTATAAATAAAGATTAACGTAGCCGCCGTAACGTCACCAATAGGTTTCTGAAGAGCGGTTTCGAAGCTCAGAGTGTGCTGCTCCGTCAGCCGAGACTTCAGTGCATGCAAGCTTGAGGCAATGATATGGTCACCCACCTGTCACTCAAAGGGGCACGCCCTCAATTATGCAGAACTTTAAGCCTTAATAAAATTTAAACAGGTGAGTTATATAAAAATTCAACCCCCGTACAGTTGTCATGAAGGAGGAAATTAGCTATAGAGATAAAAACTGTTTTTTGTTCTAGGCTGTAAACAGGTTTATTTCTGCTGTAAAATTGGGCATTTTAACATGGGAGTCTGTAGGGATTGACTCACTTTTGGAGTCTATGCTTAAAGTTATGCATACTTGAGGGTGTGGCCGCTTTGTGGATGCCATCCCAGTCTGCTAGCTGTCTGCTCCACGTCACCACAGCTAATTTGAATCACTGAAAGTGACCTCTTGGCCGTGTTTGTGGTGTTGGTACCTTTTGGAGGCATCTGTGTAGTGATATGTGTGATGTCACTCACTGCCCAGGGGAACTCCTATGGACAGGAGACAGGGGTTTCCTCAATGTGACAGGCCCATCTGTAATAAGGAAGGGACAATCACCATGCAACTTTTGTGGCGAACTGGGTCAAGCCACCTCTGAAGTTTTCCCATGTGGACTAGACCCAGAGGAATCACCACATGGCTTGCTGCCATCATTCCCAACAGGTGCATCACAGACAGAGCTGTCACTGCTGTGTGAGATGAGACAGGCGAGAAACAAACGCCTCTAGTCTCGCAAGACACAGTTTTGCTGTCATACTTGCTGAATCCAAATGGAGGGCAATGGTGAGCCTTTTTTTTTTACCAATGATGCTCAGACTGTTTAACGGCTCCAGGGTTATGTCCATGCACTTGGAGAATGTTCTTGGGCCCAGAAAATAACCAAATGGTAAACGGTTTTACTGAAATGGGACTTTTAGATGGATGGATGTGAACCAGTTGTTGCAGCAGATGAAATGCAGTACGTGCTTTATGGTGAGCATGTGGAATTGCTTATTCATGACAGATTTGTTGAAGAGAGACAGGTCAAGAATGGGTCTCATGTTACCCATTTTGTTTGGGACTAAGATGTAAAGGGAATAATAACTCTTATTCTGCACACCTGCTGAAACTCTGGAGATTGCATTTTTCTCCAAGAGCTCTATTCATTCTGTCACCAGAGAAGCTGTCTCTGCTGGGGACAACATTACTGTCTCCAGCACCCCATTGAATAGTGGTGGGGGGCTGGCAAACTGAAGAGTGTCGCCCTTTTTTATTAATCTGTTCATCCAATTGCTCATGGAAAGCAGACTGAGTAATGAGTGGATTAGCACACATCTTTGTGTTTGCTCAACGCGGCCAATGGGACGGCAGAACCATAAAGGCTAAGGCGGGGAGGCATGTACGTATATCAGTAAAAACATCCACCTCAGAAACTGAATCATGCCATGTAGAGAAACCACCACTACACACAGCGATAGGTGAGACGTGGGGAGAGGGAGGGGGTGTGGATGGGCTGTTGTGATCACCTGAGATGAAAGATTGGATTCACTCGTGACAGTGAGGGGGAGAGAACAGACAGCCAACACAGAATGCATGAGTGCAGTGGATTCAACATGTGTGTGCTAGCTGACTTTTAGGAGGCCGTTGTTCATGGAAGTTCCTCCAGATGGACACACATTCCCCATGTCCCATCATTACCACCTCTGCTTGTGGTGGTGCTTGGAGGCCTGTTGGACCAGGTGCAGGCCAGGCATCTGCTCTTAGCACTAGTGTAATGAGGAGCAGGCTGTGGAGTTGCTGCAAGAGGTGGCTGAGAATGAGGAGGAAGGTGTAGCGAGGGAATGAGCTGAGACACAGTGACAGAGGTTGCGTACGGGTATCTCAGCCTGGGACGGGAGTCCTTGCAGTCCTGCCGGGAGGCCTAGGACGGCAGAGTCTGCGAAGCATGATGTGTGTCTCCTCACCCTTTCCTCCTTGGAGTATGACACAGCTTCATTGAGCCAAGAGGGCTGATGAGGGACGACCAGGTGCTCTTTCCTGGAAGCTGGGAAATGTGGCACCACATGTTACATGGCAGCACCGTCGCCATGTCGCCACTGTGCCACTACCATTATGGCCAACAAGAGAGCCTGTCGCTGCCAATCTCTTCTGTCATCTCACAGGGCTGAGCTTTGATGGAGGAAACGTTGAGAGCAGTACAATGTTGTAAATGGCCACTGCTGTCTCAATGGTACACTGGAAGGCGCTGGCTGGTGAGTCATGTGGTGACCTGGTCATGGGGAGATGGTGGAGTTTTTTGTATCACCACCGTGATCAAACATGCACAGTATGGGCAGGGGGGGTAAAGATGCGCACTGCTGGTGGAACACTGTGTAGACGTAACTTCTCTCTTCACAAATAAACTCCATAAACACACTGGAGAAAAAAGGGGAGCATAACCTGACCTAATCAGAGCCCAGTGCTCTGCACAGGGTGTAAAAGATCTGCAACACTGCATGCATGAGGGCTTCAGCTCTTGGAGGGCAAAGCCTTCACGGAATAGAATGGAAATGTCACTGGCTCACTGACTGACAAAGTTACACCATTAGTCAGCTGAATGCTGCTTTACTGAGTGATGAAGTTACACCATTGGTTGGCTGGCCAACAAGCAGTCTTTTCTGATTTGGCGCATTTTATGCATGATTTACAGAGTTTTCAGATGCATTTAACGATCAGTATTAACAGGTCAATCAGGTCAATACTACGTGAGCATGAGGTTGCGCACACAGCAGCTGACACGAATGAGCTGTAAACTTTCTGAGTGATTGTTTTACAAATAAATATAGCCAAAATCACAGCACAGCTGTTGTCTTCAACTTACATTTGGTGATTTTGTCAGACAACGTCATGGTTAGAAAATCAGGATTTTAGCAGCAGCAGAGCAGCAGCTTCCAAGTGACTGCTGGTAACATCTAGTCTTGGTGGGCCGCATTTCAGTCACTATTTCATACTTGACAACAGAAACAGAAAGACATTTAAATAAGAACAGCTTCATTGGGATTTTGGCTGTATTAAAATTATAATATTAAAATACTGTATATGTGAGCACAGGGAGCAGGAGGAAAGTAAACAGATAAAGGGCTGAAACCAGCTGCCACTAAGCGGAAGCAAATAGCCTATGATGCCGTCAAGTCATATACTAGGTTTTGACTTGGTGTTGTTAGGGTTGTGGCTGTAAACATACTGTAGAGGGGAAGGCAGGATTTTTCTGAGTTAAGAATTTATTATATTTTTAAAGTAGGATACTAAAATGCTCTATAGAGTACATGTAAGGCCACTTACTTGACAGTTTATTTCACCCAATTTGTTTCACAAACTACTGATCCTGCTGCATGAAAGCAAAGACTTTAAATGTGGGGAAACAAGAAACATACATGTTTTTTTTTTTTTAAATATACCATTCAAGGTTTAATTGCATGTGAATTAAATATTTCTGATAAACATCTCTGCTACAGCATGTGTTATAGTATTTACAGTATTCATTTCAGACCAGGTTTTTCAGTGAATTATCCCTTTAAATCCAGGGCATTCATAGTGATACCAAATGTTATTTGTATAAATCTTTAATAGTGCAACTATGTGTGTATATGTGAACTAAGACTCCATATTAATTTATGTACTATTACAAAAACATGTCATTCGGTCTATTTCCAAGCAATGACTTAAACATGAGTGTCATTTAAAACATTATTTCCATCAGAGGAACATGGTGAAACTATTTTATGTCCGACACCTCTATAAAGCTATTCACACACATCAAAAGAAAAGTTAAGTGAAAGATATTCAAGGCACTTTGAATGTGTGAAGGGAATTTACAGAGCAAAAACATCTTGAACCAAACAACATATACATTAACCACATGTTGACAAATTAGCTCCAGTTGGGAATGAAAAGATTCAGTGAATGAAAAGGCACGTATCTGTCTAAACAAATGAAATAGTAAAAACCATATCCTAGTAAACATGCATTACCATTCATCCATAAAGTGCATCACATGGCCTTTTTCAGGCCTATTTTGAGACAATTCAACATCAGCTGTGGTTGACACACTTCATTACTCATCATCAAAGACTGGGAAAAACAAACAAACAAAAAAACAGCTGGTAAGCACACACTACCACATGTGAAACCTTTGCCCCCTAAGTGTTATTTGGGTTTAAGAATATGGCTTTTGGGCATGATGTGTAGGCCTGGAAAAAAACAGTCTTCATGCTGATACAGTGCCAACAAGGCACAACATCAGTCACTTGCGTCACACAGTTCTTTGTTAAATACCAGCCTTGATTTCTTAAAAGCAAGGCTGTGTTATTAAAATGAATCGACAGGCCCTGATCTCAATATATGCATTTCTCCCTTCTTTCAGAAATTTCAGCTCATAACTTCTGGATTATTATCAGGTAAATTAGCACCACTGTGGTATTATGGGGGGGCTTCTTTCTGCATTTCTTGCTTGAAGCTGATGTTCATCTTAAAATAAATAAATGATCAACTGTTTATAAGTCTCTTAAAGGGGAAATTTCACCCAAATTACGAAGACCTTGTCACTTGCTCTTTGGGGGTATCTTCTAATTTTACTGTATTTGCTGGGATTTTCAGACATCTGGCTCTGCAAACTTCTGCCACCACCCGAATACAATGGAGGTCACATGGTTACTCAGGATATCTCGCTGTCAACTGAAACTATTTTTTCCAACAGCAATTTCATTTAAAATGATCAACTATCAGGTCTGTTGATTACCATGATTAACAAGAATAAGTTGCTGTTGAATTTTTCAAATGTAATTTAAAATAATTTGAGCACCATGAGCAGAATCTATTTAATGTAAAATAGAGGCAGAAATCTTAAAATCTTCAGTACATAAAGCTAGACTATCTGCATGGAGAAAGTATAAAAATGTGTCTTTTGCAAATAGCCTGATCCCTTCATCATAACCCATGTCACAATAGACCCTGAGGAATCCGATACAAGTCCAGGCCCAGTCTACACTCTATTAACAGGCAAGGTGCCAGGAGAGGTTTAGTGTTGCAATTATGTATGCACTTAACTTAAATTGGTATGATCAGTGCCTAGAAGCAAACCATCTTGGTAATGTACAAATGCATGTGTGTAGGTGTATAAGCAATGTTGCAATGTGAATGGGAAATGACAGGATTAGTGTACACACAGGATTACATTCCTCAAAAAAATGATAGGCCACATTTCCTTGGCTCTCTCTTGGTGCAGAGTTACATATTTTACTGCCTCTTGCAGGACGAATAACGCATGGCACTAAAACTATGAGGGAATGTAGGCTTTTAGATGCAAAGTTAGTTTCTCAAGTCTGTCTACACCAATGACAGTGGATGGCAGTACAACACAGTGACATGGATGTACGTGTGAAAAGCAAGTTATCAGTCCTTTGTTATACCCACCTGGTTACCAATAATTATCCTGAGACATTTACTTTATCCAGATGTTTTCTTACGTCAATAACCACGAGGGCGATGTTTCTCCAGTTAGAGAAGAGGGCCTCTCGTCACATGTGAGGAGCCATAAGGCAATGCTTGTCTGCAGAAACTGATGAAATGATGGTTCAGGTTTTCTGTAGATTGTCACAGTTGTGGAAGTCATGAAACCATCGGTGTTATCTTATTCTTTTGGTCAAGAAGCCAAACTTTGGCTTTGTGACTGAAGGATCAAATCGATCCAGTCCGACAGCCACGGTAGGAGGTTCAAGAGTGAACAAGGAGGACTGAGAAATCCCCACCCAGTTTATGAAAGAATTAACTTAGTCTGAGGTTTGATGGAGTAAACCCATGTAGTTGCAGATATAACTCTTACAGGACATTGCACAAGGTCTTCAGACTGAAGTTTTCCATGGGTGTCAGATAAAATGTTCCATGGACCATTGTCAAGGGTTAAATATAAGTGAAACACGTTGTTTCAGCATAAAAGCTTTCCCTTTTCACCCAATACACAGATCTTGAGGGAAAAGCGGCATCACATCCAATTGCAAGGTGAAACAGTGGCGGAGATGGAAGTTGTGATGGGATGTGGGAGTAGTAAGGTTGGAGAGAAGTCAGGAAAAACCCAGGATAAGTATTTAATACTCCAACTCCAACATAAGGGAGGAGGAGACTGAGGCGTACGGGCAAGAGACCAGTGTTGATTGTCAGTTTTTCGGCTTCTGGTGGTAAAGCTGGGTGACCTGAATGACTGGAGGAGAGGTGCTGAGCGACGGCCCGCACCAACAGGCAGAGGACCGCACCACTTGGACCTCACACTTGCCACTGGAGAGAGGGAGATCAAAGCAGAGGAAACACAGTCAGCATCTGACTCAAATTAATCACAATGTGAGAACTGTACACTTCATACAACATAAAGACAGACAGAATGAGAGAATCCAGGAAGAAATGCTTTTCAAGTAGAAAGAGGCAGACAGGACATTAATGTTATTAACGCCACAACACCAGCATGTTACAAGTTGAAAACACAGCAGGAAGACAGGTTTTCTCTCTGACTCTCTCCCATCTCACACAGCATGACAGATGATAAAGAAACATATCAGGTCCTTTTACTATTGGTCTACATCCCCGGATACAGTGCCAGGAATCCACACAATTTGTGATTAGCTGATTACGTCCTGTATATACAGAATATATAGCAATAAAGACAAGAAACTACAGGAATTTTTCATAAAACATCAGAAAAATCAAATGTAGTTGTTTTAGACAGATGCTATTTATTATGTATTAAGATTTTTCCCAGACTATCAAGACAACAGATGGGAAGAGGAAAGAGGAAAACCCAAATTCCAACAACCTACAATGCTCACACACACTCACTGAGCACTTTATTAGGAACACCTGCTTTACACCCGCTTATCCATGCAACTATCCAGTCATGGCAGCAGAGCAGTATATAAAATCCTTCAGATCAGAATTAGGAAAAATGTGATCTCTGTGACTTTGATTGTTGGTGTCAGACAGGCAGGTCTGAGTATTTCAGAAACTGCTGATCTCCTGGATTTTCACACACAACAGTCTCAAGAGTTTTTGCTCAGAATGGAGGCAAAAAGTAAAAAAAAACCATCCAGTGAGCAGCAGCTCTGTAGAGGAAACACCATGCCGATGAGAGAGGTCGGAGGAGAATGGTCAAACTGGTCGGAGCTGACAGCTGCGGTAACTACGATAACCACTCTTTACAACTGTGGTGAACAGAGAAGCTTCTCAGAATCTTGAGGTGGATGGACTACAACAGCAGAGAGTTCAGTGACCTTCAGTTGCCTCCACAGTCACCAGCTCTGAATTCAGTAGAACACCTTTGGGATGTGGTAGAACAGGAGATTGACAGCATGAAAGTGCAGCTGGCAAATCTGCCAACCTGATGTGATGCAGTCATGTCAACATGGAGCAGAGCCTCCCCCACCCAGTATTAGTATGGTGTTCCTTATAAAGTGCTAGTTGAGTGTAGTGAGCATAAACCAACTTGTGAAGGAGAGGCACTAAGAGAATGTGTTAGTCACATAAGATGCAGGGGAGCAGTGTGGCACAGACAAAAAGGTACACAGAGCACAGATGATCGCAGTACAATGAATACGCACCACAGTTGGGGACAAATCATTTTCAGGTCACTCAATACAAAAAGTGGAAATAATACTTCACTTCACTTGTCTATTATTTGGCCAACTGTTGTGACACCTTCCTATCAAAATCAAATTTGCTGCCTCTAACACTGTTCTTATAAATAACAGAAACTCTCAGGCCTGTAGTGTTGAGCACTCTAAGGCCACAAGGCCACTGTAGTTTTAAGGGGGTAGGAGAGAAGATAAGATCCTCAATTAGGTGAACTGAAAGTGAACTCACCCCAACACTGATAAACATCCTGAATGCAAGCATTCAAAAGAGAGGTTTGGATTTTTTCAAGTAAATCTTAAATACAACACTCACATGTCCTTTGTGCCAATGCAGACAGGAGGAACAATATGGCAACATTTCACGGCACATACAGCATGTGAGTATTGCAGTAACACAGACTTGAAAATAATCTGAACCTATCCTTTGGCAGCCCGATACCAAAAACAAACAGTACACCTCCATTATAGTATAGCCGTTAACAGCAGGATGCATGTTACTAGAAGAAGGAAATCATTAAAAGGGTTAGCCTGCTGAGCTGGTATATGAAGTACCTCACATGTTATGGGGCTCTGTTTTCAGATTGGAGCAGCACTGCTGTGAAATATAAGGCGAAAAAAAAAAAACAAGAAGGGAAGGGAAAACATTTTAAAGAGCAAACTATCAGGTCTGACTAGCATGAAAGCTGGGAATGCTAATAAATGTACAAACAGATTAAGCGTTTTTAAAAAGTGTGATCAAGTCCAAGCGTATGGTCTCATTTGGGCCTGAGGAAACTTGGGGTTATGATTTTCTTGATATTAGACAGCCAGAGACATAATCCCACCCAATATCCAGTAATGGGATCAGTTGCTGGGAATGAACGTGGATATCTGAGCATCATGTGGAGAAAGAGATGCTGTCAGTGAATGATGAGTCATCAAGAAATGTCACCGCGACCTTTATGTCTCTGTCTGACGTAAATGGGAAGAGAAGCTGACAAGTTGGTAAGAATTAATAAATCAAGGCAGTGCAAAAAAGGAGACAGATAGTTGGTGAGGACTAATGAATCAAAGGGAATATGATTAGTTTGGTGTAGGGCTGCACAATTACCCAAAATATAATCGAAATTGCAACATGACCAACTGCAATATCCAAACTGCAGGAGCTGCAATTTGTTTGATATAGGTAAAATGTGTCACAACATTGTTGTGCATTGTCAGCAGCATAATTGTTGTGGTGCTACAGAGACGCCCCGGCCTACAAATCGTATTCTCAAGATGTAAAGGAACAAGCTTGTTTGGTACAGGTCCCAACAAAATCACATCATCATTTTTATATTTTTTCAGTGAAATGAAATGCAAAAACAACCGTTCCAACTGAAAATCATCTGCCAAAATCATCACCATATGATTTTTTTGCATATCGTGGAGTCCTAGTTTGGCGTTTTGTTTTTAAGATGAGATGTGAAGTTATCATCCATGTAATGTTGGATCAACTAAATCCATAATCTTTTGCAATGTAAATAGTAAAAGCAGGTTATGAGGGTAAATCAGAATGCTTAATAAGAGCAAGCTCAGATGAAATTACATCAGTTTTGAAAGGAAAAAAAAAACTTTTGACTCAGAACAGGACCATGGTTAACCTTAACCATGGTAACCTGGTATTACACTTAGTGAAACTATCTTTCATTTATCTGGTTTCCATTGTTCTATTGCTACTTGTTTAGGTATCAGAAGACTTTTCCTAGGGGTGGGCGATATGACGATATTAGATCGTGAAGGATTACAACGTGAAGACGATCTTTCAAACTGCAGAGATCGTGGGATCGTCTAGGGCACATTCTATAAATTGCAGTTCTATGCTGATGCACAGACGCACCAGACGTATTGATGTCGTCAACCTGACCACCAATCATAGCGAATTACGGGCAGTGACGCACTTCCTACCCACCTCCTTGTTTGTGTGTGTAGCGGTAGCACATGGAGAGCGATGGCTGAAAGCCAAACGGATTGGTTGCTAAAAAAAAATTCCACCTCCATTAATGGAAATTGGTTTGGATTTTCCGCAAACTGATCAAGCGCAAGCAAATGTAATCTGCAAAGTTGCACAGAAAACCTTTCGCACATCGGGTGTAACACGACGAACCAGAATGTTGTTGTTGTTTACCTTAAACTTTACGTTGTTTGCACATGCAGGCAAAACTGCGACTATTTGAAATAGAAATCTGTTAAGAAAGGTTCTTGGCTAAGTGGTGTCTGTTTTTTCTTTTTCCAATTTAAGATCGTGATAAAATCGAAATCGTGATTTTTTTTAAAAAATCGTGATTATTTTTAAAAAATCGTGATATGATATTTTTGCCATATCGCCCACCCCTACTTTCCATATAGGTAGCAGTGAAGAAACTGCGCTCAGGGTTTAAGTGCATTAATCGTGTGTCTGTTTGAAATCAATACGTCCTTCTATCTAATGTGATTATGTGGTAGAGGCTGAAGCAGGAAAAGCCCACACTGCTCACGACCTATCAATCAGGTTCACTATAGATAGAGAGTCAACTCGACTTATTTATGTCAACTGCTGAGAGATCCAGGCCTTCATTTCCTCCTGCTTTACATTTGTATATGTGATGATATTTATGTAAGAAGCCTTCAGGTTTTTGAATCTGCTCCCGCTTGCCATGTTAATTTGCTGTTGTGCAACAGATGGAGGATGAACTGAGTTTGCATTATGAGCAGCTTTCAGCAGTTGATGGGTTTACTTCACTGAAAGCTAATTGAGAAACATTGAAAGGAAGTTTGCATTAGCAGCAGCTTAACACCAAGAGAATTCCTCAGGAAATAATTTATGATCATCAGAATTAATTTTGCTCTGATACACATCCTGTGTAGACAAACTGTTAAACTGACAGGAGGAAGCAAAGGTCTCACTACATGATTGCTCCTTAAGATGATTTATGTGCAGCATTACACATTAACTACTCAACTTTGCCCTCAACCCCTGTGCATTAGAAAACACCCAATAGGAAAATATGTTGTCATCATTTGCTCTGGTTAACAGTGGGAAGGATGTTGTGAGAGTCACCTGAGAGGGTTGAATACTTAACAATTACTTATTTAATTAAACATGTGGCTATGTGAATTGTGCATGCTTATTCTGTTTGTTACCCAGTGTCGTCAGGCATGTCCTGGTCAGCCTCCGCAGCGGATGACTCCACATCTGCATCTGCACTGCTCTCACTGCCCTGAGCTGACAGACCACATGGAGACTCTGGGCTCACACATTCACCACTGGGACACACAAAGACACGCACACAACCACACAGTTCATATTGACATAATTGGTATATTCTGTGCTATTTTCGCACTGAGAGCTTGTGTGTGGAATGCAATTCCTACAGTAATTTTTTCTGTGGCACATAATGTGATCCAGATGTGATATGCAAGTCAAGTGGGTGTCTAATCTTTATTCCCATATCTTGTATTTATTTGATGTGTGTGTGTTTACTGACTTGATATGTTTCTCCAGTCGCAGGATGGCCTGCTCCCTCTCCTCCAACCTCCTCTTCAGGGAGGTGATTTCCCGCTGCTTCTCTAGCAGCTCCTTCTGGAGACGATAGTTGCTCTCCTCCAGAGTCTCGCAGAACGCCTGGAGGGAGGGAAGAATGGAGGATAGAAGCACAGAAGATGTTTGTGGACAGTGGAAACAAAGGCTGGAGGGCAAACAAAGTGACAGGCAATGGAAGAAAACAGACTGTAGGTCATCATGTAAGCCTATAAGGACAGTCTGCACATTCAAGTCATTTATTACATCTTTAATTAAACTGTTCTAAACATACAGGTTCAAGGTCTTTGAGGTGCCTGAAAAAATGGACGAGTGCAGCTAGAGGGGAAAAGTGAAACATATCTGTGAAAAATAAGCACATAGGTCATTTGTGCAACAGGTTATTATGACTTATATTTACATTTTGTTGTTAGGTGACACCTAGTGGCCGTAGTAATTATGACAGGAGTGCAGTGACATAGTATAGAGACAAAGTCCGCGTCAGGAGGAGGCTGGGGTGGATGAATGGATCAACAAAACACAGGAATATGACACAGGAGAGTAGTGTTCGATTCCCATGTGAAACCAGCAGTTTATGTTGTTTCTTTTATCCATGAGCATTCAACAAAGTTAACCATGTTGTTATTATTGTGACCATGACAACAAAGATCTTCTGGTGTTGAGGAAGTGCCTAATTGGTGCCTTTCCTTTACAGTCAGTCCTCAGAACTATTAATGTTTAATACTCATCCCTGTGTCAATAAGGACAAATGGATGGTGTGTTAAAGTGGCTGAACACTTTGTAAAGAAATTTTCCTCTTTCAAAGGCACTGAAGAGACACAGACATGGATATGAACACAAACATACATGTCATGACCACACATACATTCATATGTATATGCACACACTTACCCTGCTCTCCTCCAAACTATCAAAGGGCCCAGGTGGGTCATCCAGACATAAAAACTCCCTCACTGCCAGGCTGTAGAGGAGAAAGAATGGTGTAATATCTGTGTGTGTGTGTTTGTGTCGCAGGAAAGTGTGCTCAGTAATACTATAAACAAAAATACCTGTATACAATTACACTGGTACCTCGATAATATGTTTGCTTTTGTCTGTCTTTTGTCATTTGAGTTTGAATGCTTCACATTCAAAAGAAAAAAAAATTCAAACTTAAAACATTGAAATCACCACATAATCATGTCACATACCAGTTGGCAATGTCTTTATGTGCAACCAGGTTTTGCAAGAAAGCCTGCAGTCCCAACTGTCTGTCTTCCAGGAAGTCACTGTCATAGTTGTCTTTAAACCAACGCTTAGGAGGCAGCGAGAGGCGGAAGCCTGGAAACATCTCCTTCAGCTAGACCACACACACACGCGCGCACACACATAAAGAGTAAGTGAGTATCACATGATCTACATTCAGTTACAGTAAAAGAATATGATTCAGCAGCAGTATGAGGTTATTGACCTGCATGGCCATGATGCAGAGAAAGAGCGTTAGAGACAATCTTCATGTGCTTCATATACTCTAGTAAAACAATAACTGAAGCAAACTGTGCTGTCCTTCACCTCTAACCTTCATCCCATACTAAATCCATCATGTAGGGGTGTCACTGATAAACAACTTTTGACATTTGTGGTCAGAATTTCATTTAATTTTTTAATTTTTCTGCATTAAAATATCTTCATCCATTTCAAATTACACATAAATCTATAAATTGGCTAAAACAAGCTTTTATTCAAATGAACTAAAAGTGAATATAAGCCATTTCCACTTGTGCTTCCATACTGTTACTGGCTGTGTAAGACAAACCACAATCTGCTGTGTCATACTGCTGCACAGACTCATTTCTGACACGTTACTAATATAATATCGATATTAAAACATAATTTCTTTTTTCTGATTTTTACATAAATAACCCTTAAATTTGGATTTTAAAGTTATGACCAATCTGTCAATAAACGTATGCACTTTTTGTCTGGTGCATTGCTTCATTCCATATGTATACAGTATATATCAAAAATAGGGTATGGTGGATGTAAATAGTATGTGACATAAACCAAATACTACTGTAAACTATATTAGTCATTTCAAGAAAGAAAAAGTGCATATTGTACAAGAAGAATCCTCCATTCTGGTGCATTAACAGCCTCAGCCACACTCTCCCACTCCATTTGTTTTATTTTGTTATTAATGCTAGAGGACAGAGTGCAGAATAACATCTTTTTTCTCGTTGATTCTGAGGAGAGGAGAAGCCCAGGCGTATTTATACTCATTAGCACATTAAATTTAGGGTGGAGTGTCATGGTCGTGCATTGGTGCTAAATTTTATATTGACTGGGATGTACAAAGAAAATGTGCGTGGAATCCTGCGCGCACACAGTTTCATACATCTGAATTTTAAGGTGGGTACGCAGCTTTTGGGCTTCGTGCGTACACCACGTATTCAATATTCTACGCAAGGCTTTGTACAAGAAGCCATGAAGCCTTCAAAGCCAATCACATCTACCTCCATCTCTGCCTAAATTACAACAAATTGTAAATCTTCAATAAATGACTGGTAATTTACAAAATTCTCAAAACAGATGAATGCAGATCAGCTTTGGGAGATAGTGGATATCAGTTTACTCAGCAGGAAGCGGGTTGGTGTGTGTGTATGCACACTAACTTGTTGTCCCACTTGGTAGCCTGAACCATGTGCATAAACTTAGAGTGGAGCAATGCTGGGTGAGGTCCAAACTTCTACAAAAACAATGTTTGGCGCCAACCACACGGTGTGGAGGCAGTGCTTTGGGTGTCTCTAAGTGTCACCTGCAACACAACTCTAACTTAATTGTTTTTTGCAATACTTCTAAATAATTAAACATGGGAAAAACATCTAAATGTTTGTGCTTATGTGCCTCAGCGAATTAAAATGTTGAAACATTTCCAAAAAGGCTAAGTATAAGGCTTCTACAGTTACAGCAAAAGACCATTCAGCACAGGGTGAACATTACAGCTGCTGTAATGAATGGAGGAAAGGATGTCCACACCCCCCTCTATACCCTCTTTCTCCTTGTTGAATGTAGGGTGTGCCCATCTCCTATTTCCATTCCTCTTTTCAATGATTACTGTGTCCCAACAAGTTCCACCTGTTTTAAAATTGCGTGTTGCATTAATTGATTTAGTCAATATTTTGCAGGCCTGCAGAGATCCTGTTAGTTGCAGCTTTCTAACGATCAACTTTTTTGTTGTAGGTTCTTTTTTTGTCAGACAGTATCATCACATGGCTGAGTACTTTTCCTTTCTGTAATCAGTGACCCAACTGTCCTTCCTGAAACCACGAGAGACCTGTTCCCCTACTTGGCTCTGGCCTGTTGGGCATTTTGGGAACAGTAGGCTTCTTTGTGCAGCTCTAATCACTTCCACAGTACACTCAAAAACAAAAGAAAGCCAGCTGAAAACAAAGAGTTGATAGTCAAAAAGAGTGTCTGTAAACATGGATGGATGATCACAAAACTAGGCAAAATCCGTCTTCTATTTTCAGACTGCCCATACTTTCCATGTATGTACAGACAACACACTCAGACACACCTTGTCGTTGAGCCGGGAGAAGTCTGCGTATCTTCTAAAAACAACCCAGCTCTCATCTGGAGTCTTCCTGACCAGGAGCTTGTAAACCTACAGCAGGGTAAAGACAACACAAACATATACAGAAACTGGTGTCTACCAACTTATCTTTTGACAAATGTGATGCTTGCAACTATCACATAAAACAACATACTAGAGTAAATAAGACTTAATTGAAGCGTAAAGTCACATTGTCTCCTTTGCCAGGCTGTTCACTGACTTGTTGTGATACTGTATGAATGCATTTCTGTCCTCTTTTCTCATAATGGCCAAAAATTAGACCTCAAAATTCAGCCTGAGCTGGAGTGAAAAAAATCTATTGACAACTTCTCTGCAGGTACTTAGAGTGCAGAAAAACTTGTTCCTCCATGCTTTTGGTAAGTGTTTGAAGTTGATTTGTATAAAAGTCTGTGTGCTGAGTAAATGTTGACATTAGTTTTTAATCTCTAATATTCACCAGGCTGTGTGCTTGTCCTCCAGTGTGCATGCCTATCCCACTTGCTAAAGTGCTCCCTTGTTATTATAGTTCTTAGCAGAAAGATCGATACATGTCATTACATGATAAATAACATTAGCATTTCATCTGTAGTGAGAGGTGTCACACTGTGATACTACACAGGTTCCAAAAGCTGGTTTCATACCGTGAACTTGGCCCTCTCCTCCATGACTTCATAACCCAGCACAGTAGGTGTGATGGGCCTCTCCTCGCCTTGCTGGCTTCCAGCAGGATCTGATATGGAGCGAGGGCAGCTTGAGTATTCTACAGAGGATTCCAGAGTCCCGTTGACCCTGGCCCGTGTCACAGGGCTCTGGAGGGGTGGTGGCGTCCGGCTGCGGCTGCCTCTGTCCATGCAGCGGGATTGCCGCTGGGAACCTAGTCCTCCACATCCTCTTCCGTTGTCCTCCAAGCTGCTGGAGACACTGCCTAGAGATGAAGCTCGCTGTGGCCGTCTCAGCTTGTTGCTACCACCTGACAGGGTTCTGTCCATGGGCACAGGGACAGGCACAAACGGTGATGCCATCTTCTTGAGCTGCGCACTCCTGCCCCGCCACCACAGTAGTCAACAAGGCACTTCACACAGATGCTGACCTTGCTTTGCTTCAGTGGTGCTGTACGATAGAGTGAAGCAGTAATGCTCACCCTAAGGGGCTGACACCCTGTACAAAAAAGAATTATTAGGTGTCTACATTGAATTTATCATGATTTAAATTGGCTAAAGGTTGCACACTGGGACACTCAGAATTCCCTGTAACTTACATAAATAGAGCACAATCTGTCATCAAACATCATCCTGAAATAAGGGTACCAGACTGTGAGGGCAGATGAATTATTGACATGAGCCAAATGCCATTCATAATTTATGGATTTGAACATCATGTGTAAAATCTATGGTGGAATAAAAAGCCTGTTAACATCTGTAGATAATGAATGTGTCAAATCATTTTGACAGTTGATTCGTTTTTTTTCTCCACCTGTTCCAGTCAAAGTCTGACCTATCCTGATGATGCTTGGATTTGAGATAAAAGGAAGAAGGAAGTCTGTATGTTGGTTTTCATGGAGGGACAAGGCCTGAAACCAGTTTCTGTTCAGACTGAGATTAGGAGCTACCTGTCAACCGTGTTCACATTAATTCAGCATCAGTGGAGTTGAGAGAAACCAGCCCTGTACCTCTGTGTGATTCGAAATGAGAAGTCAAATAACATGCTGATAATACACACCACTACACTAATGAGGTATAGCAAATATGTGGAGAAAGACAAGAATCAATGTCATATTAAGGCTGGAGGACAAGAGAAAAAAAACACAAGAGGATGAAAAGTAGAAGAATATAAGAAGATGACACATCATTACTGCTCACTCACTTTTACTGACTCGTGGAGCTATTTTGGTGCGCCTGACGAAATACCTGAGACCGGACCACAACAACAACAAAACGCTTGCTGCCTAGCATCCCGCTTCACACTTTTCTGGTGTTTAATGGTTTTAAAGGAAACTGGCTGACAAGCGTTTAGTAAGTGAAGATAGGAAGTGATTTAACTGCGATGATTCGTGACGTGCGTTTACAGAACTCCATTCACAAAATGGGACATTGTAGTTAGAAGTATAACGTCTCCCTGCTTTTCGGTTCAGGCCCTAATATTAGTGACACTAGCAGGGAATTCAGAGTAGCAATGGCGAGTTAAGGTATTATAGTAAATACTACACAGGGAGTTAAACAGTTTGAGTATAAAATCACCTCATCAGCTACAAGTAAAACAAACCTACCTAGTCGGAGTTGCTAGCTGGTCACAACAGCCCAAAAAAGTAGACTTACTAAAGTTTTGCTAAAAAAAGGAGCTGCTGATAATGTTAGATGTATGCCGAATGGAGTATCAATCCCTCATAGTTCGTAAAAGGATATTCTATTATTTTTTTGTTCAGGTATATTGCCGATAATAAAAACGGAAACGCTTAACTGACAATTTTATGAACGGTGTTTGGCGTGTCCTCTGTCCCACTGTAAGATCCTGGGATACAAGCTATCACGTTACGTTCACGTTAGCTAGCAAGCTAAGAGCCCATGTGGACTAAGCTAAGATAACGGATGGTGACAAGGAGTTTTGCTTACCGTAGGAAGCCAATATCCTTCCCCTTCAGAAAATGTTGTTTATTATACACATAAAGCCTGGTGTGTGATTGTCTGGTGGCTGTTTATCCACTGCACTGCCTCCTCCTTCCCTGCCCTGGTCATGTTAGCTTGCTTGAATTCAGACTACGGCGGCATCAGTGCTTGAAGACGGCCAGAAGGGGGCACTGTATCACACATAAAGAAAGTAGTGCCATCGTAATTTTAACAAAAACGAAGTGGTTGTCCTCAGCTGATCTTATCAACACATGTCATTAATATTGAATAGAAACATATTTTCACTTATTTTGAATGTAAGGATAACAATTTATGCAATATTATTAACATCCTAATTTTACTAGGAAAATGTCATATTCATAAGACGAAATTTCTTAAATCAATTCCTTCATTTAAATTGATCTTGAACATTATTTTTGAGTCTCTCAAATTGGTTACAAACAAGAAGTCCTTACACTACATGTAGGCTACAAGTTGAGAAGATTTTCATCTTCTCTCTAACCCAATGGTCACTGTGCCGATGTAAACAAATCAATAAACAAAGTAAATGTTGCAGCATGTGAAGTAGCACTAATGGTCCCTGAAACAACATGAATGAAGGAATTATATGCAATACCAGATTGGTAGGTAGGCCTAAGTAGAATGGATGTTGCAATATTACTGTCATGCAATTTGGCAACTAAGAGGCAACATACAGTGTAAAATGTAAATGCAGTAGTTATAAGTCCATAACCGTGATGCAAGCTGGAGAACACAATTCAGTGCTGGCAACATCAAAAGTGGGTGAGTGCAAAATTTATAAAACTTGGAGGGGGAAAATCTGGTTGGTGATTGTTGAGATGACTTTGCTGAACCCTATAGCAGATGCAAGTAACTTCAGGCTTTGGTCATCAAATCCTGAACTTTCTCATCTTCCTGTGGCCAAAGTTACTGTAATAATTTTAAACATAGGAAACTCGTATACTACTTGTGCTAATGCTCCAGACAAATAGATAACAAAAAAATTGTGTGTGTGTGTGTGTGTGCGCATCTTCATTTTTGTATTAATCTGGTTCAGACCACTTGATACATTTCTTGATTCACACTGTCCTCATAAATTGTATAATCACGTTTCTATACTGATACTGTTTCTGAAAATTATTGCTTAATCAGCTGTTGGTTGCACTTTGTCTTCTTCTCAGTGTCCATCCATCCATCCAGCCATCCATCCATCCATCCCTTTTCTGTATCAGGGTCATGTGGGCATCTCCTCACAATTCCTACTGGCACAGTAACCATAATAAGGGCGGCTGTTCCTTTCACTGATGGGTGTGATCTCTAGATGCGTTTTCAAGGTGCAGCCACCTACTTAACTTTGGGTGTGTCAGCTCTTTACATTACAAAGCGCTGACTCAAACAGAGCAGTTTCTCCAATAGCTGAAAGACTACGGATCCCTTGCTGACTGAAGAAGAGTGTCTGTGAGTAAGTACAGATTGTTTTATTGTCACCTGATTTCCATAATAAAAGTGATAAGGAATGATAACGGGTCAACCAGGCTTTATGTAACTAATTTATGCCTTCACCTGGTTTGCAAAGGCAGCAGGGGTTAACTAATGATGAGCAACATCTGTGTGATTTTATTGGGTGAGATTTCTTCAGTAAAAATTCTGTGGGGGAAAATGGGGATTTCTCTACAGATGTCTGAGAAGAGATATTGTTGTTGGAGAACGCTGCCGAGATGTTAAATAAAACACCAATGAAGAAGAGCATTTTAAAGGTCTGCACGGGCAGCTTAAATTTTAAAGCTTAAGAATATTTAATAATTGGTAAATTAAACCAAGAGGCCAAAGACTTGGATTTCATGAAAAGCTGAAACACTGACATGATGCTTGAGCATCCCCATAAAACGTGTAAGAATGCACAAGATGAAACATTTTCATATCTCATTCATAAAAGAGACTGTGGTTATTACCAGTAGTAAATTCCCTGCCATACTCGACATTTACGATCTGTGTTATTTTGGCTTGTAAGATCATCAAGGACTGTAGGCAACCAGAACACAAACTGTCTGCCATGCAACCTCTAACACCCTAAAATGCCTAATTAGCACTTACTATGTACTTACTTCTTAACTTGATCTCCTTGCACTTATTGAATACATGTCCCTATGTCCCTAGCTTGTAAGTCGCTTTGGATAAAAGTGTCTGCCAAATGAGTAAATGTAATTTAAAAGATAATGCAACAGATTGGCAGGCAGTGCAGGACTATATACTCCATACTCACAGCATCTGATAACTCTCATAATTCAAAGGCTTCCCTGTTTCCTTTACCTTTCTATTCCTCATCTATAGTAGTTTTAATGTATTTATTTTTATTATTTATATTACTTTTCCAAGTCTCATTCTAAGCATTTCATTGCAGAGAAGATGTTTTATCTGCACAAATGACATTATAGTTGAACTGATTCCTAACAGGTGTAACATTTATGTAAAACATTTGTGTTTCACATGATCAGGGGAACATGATTTTATCCAATTTTGTGTGGGAGTGCTAATTAACAGATACAGTGCATGCTACAGTACAGTTTAAATTCAACGATTAATGCTCTACTCTCAATGTCTTTTCTTTGTATCAGACACAATGGCATCATCATCATCATCATCATCATCATCATCATCAGTCCCTCTATCCAAGGCCAACACCGCCTTCTCTCTGGCTCTGTCCAAACAGCTGAGCAATAACGACAAGACTGCAAATATCTTCTTCTCTCCGTTTAGCATCTCTTCAGGCCTGGCTATGGTGATGCTGGGGGCTGGAGGCAACACAGCCACACAGATATCCGAGGTACTGTACACACACACTAAAGCACAATGCTGTGGAAATTAACTGTAGAAAAGTTACCGCTATCATGTTAATGCATCCATCTAGACTAAGGTGATTATACAGGCAGTTAGTGGAACTGGTTGATGTTGTGGCTGTAATTTCTTTGGCATATTATTGCATCAAAAGAAAAGGAAAAAGGTGTGGGCTCAGGCTTCAAGCTCTGTCATGTTCACAGGGAACTGGGCGTATAGTATAATGGAAATTTGAATGAAGATAGTGGGTGCTATTATATCTGACGCAAAGAGACAGACATGAGTCAGGAGTTTCGCATAACAGTAGTACAAATGTCCTGGGGTAGTTTAAATTGTGAGTATGAGACGTAGCAAACATAAATTCATTGTTGTAAGAATGGGATTAAAGAAGCCAAAGCAGTGATGCCAGAATGGAAGTGATATATAGTGAATGTCAGTGGTGGAGAGTGAATTTACTGCACTATAAATACATGTTCTTATATGTTAATGCATCAATAATAACAATCAAATAAAATAATACATAATATTAGACTTACAGGGGCCAGTTTTTCTGCTTGACGATTACTTTTATTTTTGAGACTTTATGATCATAACACTTGTGTTTTTACTTCAGTAACATTTTGAATTCAGGACTTTCACTTGTAGTACTACTACTTAACTTAAAGGATCTGGATACCTGTGTGTTGTTACAGTAACGCTGTGTGCAAATAACAAAACTAGTCTCAGATTAATGAAAAAATAAAAGGCTAGGATTAATCTACTGTTGTACACTGGTAATACACCCTGGCTGGTTAATTCATTGTTTAATTTTATAGTTATTTTTATTTTATTGAATACACTGCATACATGGCAACCTGATTTAGATTAATCATGTGTTGAGAATCAAGTCTGGTTTTGTTCCTAACTGGGAATGCAGCAACAGCTGCCTTTCAGCCAGATGTGAGACTGATGGATGCAGCTGATAAGCAAAGCGCAGGGCAAGCTTCAGTTTCACTGGGGAGTGGTAGTGAATGTTTTAACGTAGGTGTTGACAGGCTCTGAAGAAGCTATGATGGAATTTTACTAAGTGATTATGTCTTTGTGGGTTAAAGGGAGAGTGTGATCTTGCCTGAGAGTCATCAGGTATAATGAAGCCAACAAGTCTGTACATGTATGGCCCTGTCTTATACAAATTGCAGTGAGATTTCCTTTCTCCACAGTCAACAGAGAGTGCAGTTGTAATACTTTAGTTGTTTTTAACCTATCCATCAATTTGTCCTGCCATGTGTTGAATGTGTTGAACTCAGGAGGGATCCTAATGATAAGAGAAACTACCATTTGCACCTCTCAGGTCCTCCACTTCACTGAGACACAGCAACAGCAGGAAGAAGCTCAACCACAGATGCACACATCAGTGCAGTCGCCGATGCAGTCACAGATACAGACGCGCATTCAGATGCAGACACAGATACAGCGCACCTCCAGACTGCCACAGTATCTGCTCAAGGTGGTAACAAAGTCAAAGGATGATTAATGATTAGGGTGTGGGTGTGGTTATCTGGTGAGGAAACCTGAGATTTTGGTTCCTGAGTGTTACACACTTCATTTCCCACTGTTTTAACCTCTTGGAAACACAAGCCTTCATATGAAGCTTCAAACAGCAATACAAGCAGATTCATGGGAAATTCAGTGCCCTAACTTTCCAACAAAAGCAGGCCATCCTAAATTTTCTTTATTCCACACTGAAGAAGACGTGTAAAACAACATGAAGGGGGATAAATGGTGGGTAATTTTGTGTGCAAATGCTTTTAAAAAGGTTTTCCCATGGAATATTTTATATTAATGTTAATGGTGTTGATATTTTTATTTGTTGTGTTTGCCTTTTCCATATATTTTTTCCACAAGGTGCTTGGGGTCTCATAAAGAGAAATCAAACTAATGAAAACTTCAGGATCTTGGGGTCAAAGGTCATTCTAATTACAGTAAATGATGAGAACACTGACACCAAACCCAGGTGGTCCAGTATCACTCGACATCACACCATGTTAGCATGCTAGCAAAGACAAACTAACATTAATAGAAGGTCAATACAGCAGAGGTGCAGTAGTAACAGTTGGTGTCTATTCTCATCATTTAACAGGAAAACTAACCATAAGGCCAACGATCCACATTAATGTAATACAAGAGTAGTCTTTCATCTGTCACAGTGTGCTTATGTAACACGCAGGTCTTCTCTGGCTGTTTGCAGTGCCTGAAACCCCAGGACTGTCAGGACGATGTCCACTCTGGCTTCACCCAACTGCTGAGCGAGCTCAACAAGCCAGACGCTCCGTACGCCCTCAGTGTGGCCAACAGACTGTATGGGGAGCAATCTTACCAGTTTGTTGAGGTGGGTGTGTGTGTGTGTACGTATGTGTGTGTGTGTGTGTGCGCCAATGAATTATTTGCTGAAGGGGTGACCTGTAATCCTATAATTTAGTGTGTCAATATTTCAAGATGGCCTTGAGCTCAAACCTGCAGGCATATTCCCAGATAACCAGCTCATTATCTTTCCAAAATTCTACACATTCATTCCTTTCCTTTGAAGCACCAATAAAGCAAATATAATTGGTATATAATTATAGTTTCAGATGAGAACATGTACACTGTTGACAATGAAATTGACATCCATTGGTGTAAATTTCAAAGGTACATTTTGAAACAGAAGTTAGCAAGTCAGGTGAGGTGCAGGGTAAAATAAAAACCAACAAAAACAAGATGTAACAATGGCATGAAAAGAGTAAGTTATATTAGTGTGGCAGTGTTGAATAGTTCATATATTGCAGAATATATGCTGAAAACAAAAGAATTGACTAGAATCCCTGCACAGAAAATGCATTTGTATTGAAGATGTATTCAAATGAATTAAATGTAAGCCATTTGACTAATAAAAGGTTTATTGCTGGTTTTAGCAGTTTTGTTAATTACAGAATTTAAAGTACTGTGTATGTATGTCTGTATGTAATAGCCAAAGAAAACATTATACAGCTGCAGGTCTACACGTGATAAATCAACTGTCCTCCGTGTCTAAAATCGGTGGAGCGTCCCTAAGTATTTTTCGAAGAGTCTTGTACCTGAGCTGCTTAATGTGAATATTTAACTGTGGCATGAGTATTCAAATGTGCTGTTTATGATTCCAGGGCTTTTTAGCAGAAACCAAGAAGCACTACCATGCTGAGCTGGAGTCTGTGAACTTCCAGTCCAGTTCGGAGGACATCAGGGTGAAGATCAACAGCTGGGTGGAGGAGCAGACACAAGGTAGGTCTCAGAACACACATTCATCAGTGTGTAAATCCAAACATCCCTTCTCTCAAAGTAGTCACTTTTGTTTCTATATTTTCTAATTTAGAGTTCATGATTTGATTTCACTGAAGTGTATTAGAGATTTAGTGGCCATTTTTGTTCACTGGTTTTGTTTTCTATCTAGCACTGGTGTCTGGAAATCCTCCTCAGCCTCTGTGAATCCTCAGGGATCAGTCCTTAGTTTATGGGCTCAAAATAGAGTCAGAAAGATTTTGCGCTTGTAAAGTGATGTTCAGAAATAATTCCAAAGTTTGTAGTTGTAAACGAACCTGTAAAATCTTTTCAAACCTGTAAAATAAATCTGCATGACAAATTCAAGTTTGTACATTTGTAGAAAAGATTTGTATTTGAAAAAATAATTATGAGATTGTGTGCATAAAAACAAATGATGTCAGTGGTGAGGTTACACAAAGACAGGTCACACCATAATCTGATTGGACAATGACAGTTCAATCAATTTATCATGCAGATTTATTTTACAGATTTACAAAGGTTCATTTAAAACTACAAACTTTTCTCTACATCACTATAGGAGCTCATAATTTTTTGACCCCAATTTGAACCAATATTGGTCCTTTGTTATTCTCTGTTTACAAGTTACCATGGGGTTGTATAATCCACATGTAATCTAATTTTCTATTTCCAGTTTTTCTAGTTTCCATTTTAAATTTAATTTCCTCTGGTTTCCCTCAGCGAGGTGAGAAAATATATATCTTGGAACGTCCTTTGGTTAAATTAATTAAATTTGAAGTTTTTTTGTAAGTACAGTAACTGTCCAGACTTTAATTAGTTCAAACTGTATCAGCCCAACTTCTAACAAGATCTACCACAGAGGGTACATGACACTACGTGGGTATTTCCACCCTCTCTACATGCGTGTTGTGAATCTGGAAGTCACATTTACGGCTTGTATGAGGTTAGCTCCTTAACACATTGACCTTCTTTCCCAACATGTGCCTGAGTGCAGCATGAAATCTATCAATAAGGCTTTTTCAGAGACTCCTGGGTCTCAGACTCAGAACCATAGGGCACATCTGGGTCTGGCACATCCTGCTGGAGAAAATCAGAAGTTCCTAATCACAGTTTAACTGAACACATTCTTTTAGACTTCACACTTTTAACCCTTTTATAGCTAGTTGATTCCATAATGTTGATTTGTTTTTTTTTTATTGTATGTCTTGTACCAATTCATACAGTAACTTATTTTTAGTGCCTGATTATAATGTTTTTGCTCATCACTTTACAGGTAAAATCAAGGACCTGCTGGCCCAGCACATTGTGGATGGCTTGTCCAAACTGGTGCTGGTCAATGCCATCTACTTCAAAGGCAACTGGAACAAACGGTTTGAGGAGGATTCCACTGTTGATGCTCAGTTTAGAATAAACAAGGTAACACTGCACAACCCCAGCACTGGATGGAGACACTGAGGAACAAAAGCAGCAGTCTGGGTTTGTGAAATGATGTGTGATAGTTTACAGTTTACCTGAGGTCTGTAATACTGTAGCATGTGGCAGGACACTCTGATAGTAGACCATGACAAAGCTTTTTCTATTTTTTATTTTTTTTTTACAAATGACTGGATTTAATTTGACTGGCTGACTGGAAGAATAGTCCCAGTCACCCCATGGTAGTATAGTGACAGGGCTCATTGTCTGTGCCTTACTAGGCTGGCAGTGGATCAGTGTGTGTTAGGTAGGTGAAACAGAAAACCAAGTTAAATCTAAATTATTCCATTTATTTAATCCCACCAAGTCAAAAGCAGGATTAAAACTGATTCACTGAATAAATATATGGAACAATGTGGTGATAGTAATCTACACCACCAGCCTTTTTGCCTTGGGAAATTCACAAGCTACCCAGCAGTATATTAACTAATTATAATTAGCCTTTACCAGCTGCAACATGGTTTTTCCTCTTAATGAGTGCTTTTACTTTTGGTATATATTTTCATATATTTTCTGGATATTTAATTTCTATATCATAAAAAAAACATGCCTTTCATGCCTGTCTCTAGAACGATACCAAGCCAGTGAGAATGATGTGCCAGAAAAGTAACTTCTCTCACGCCACCATCCCTGAGGCCAACTTCCAGGTAATGTCCATGTTTTGCAGTATGTGGTTTTAACTGCCATGCAATTTGATATTACAACAATTTGTGAACAGATTTCAATGAAATATGGTGGAGAGATTTACCAAGATTCAAAGAACAAATGGTTCAATTTTTGCATCAAACCTTTAGATTTGTGGTTTTTAAGATGATTTCCATAGCTGCAACTTCTAATAGATGTATTTTAAACAGCAACCTGTTTTTCATGATGGAAAAAAAACAGATAATCTGTAAATGAAATGACATTAAAAACAGAATGTTTTGGGCAGATCCTACTGATGCCCTATAAAGGGAATGACCTAAGCATGCTCATCTTCCTGCCCAATGAGATAGAGGACGATACAACAGGCTTGGAGAAGGTAGGACACATACGCACATACAGTAGAAAAATGCACAATTCTAAACAGACAGACTGACTACAAATGGATTTTCTGTCCACCTCCAGCTGGAGAAGGAGCTGACCTATGAGAAATTTGTGGAGTGGACTCGTCCAGATTTAATGGGTCAAACCGAGGTGGAGGTGAGACTGCCTCGATTCAAGCTGGAGGAGACGTACGACCTGAATGACGTCCTGAAAAGCATGGGCATGGAGGATGTTTTTGATGCTGCAAAGAGTGACTTCTCTGGTGAGACATATATTATAATACATTATACACATGCCTGTGTCATCAAGTGTTGTATTTGTTTAAAACGTCCTCCCTCATCTGCTGATAGGCATGTCTTCAGCAAACGACCTGGTGCTGTCAAAAGTCATCCACAAGGCTTTTGTGGAGGTAAATGAAGAGGGAACTGAGGCTGCTGCCGCCACCGCCGCCGTCATGACGGAACGCTCTGCGATGATTCCTACCATATTCACAGCAGACCACCCCTTCCTGTTCTTCATCCGACATAACCCCACCATGAGTGTCCTCTTTGCTGGCCGATTCTGCTCCCCTGTGTGAGCACGGTGCCCTTTACAGCAGTGTGACTCAACTCAGTGAGTCCACAGCCTCTCTTAATTTGCTCTAGCTATACATCCCATTTCCTAGTTCCGAGTTACATTTAAATCCCCATCCTATATGAATCCCACAGCACAAATTTGCAAATTTGCAGGAAAACATTAAAGTGGAAAATGTGGTTCTACACAGTGCACCTTCACATTCACATTTACATCCACATCTAGAAAACAGGTGTAGCATTTGTTGCTTGCAGGTGTGCTTGTGCTGAATCCCAAACTTTTCCTGATTATTTGTATGTTTTGAAATAGTCTTTGCTTGTAAGTGAGTGGGTGTGTATTCTTTTGCAATCTCAGACAGGCTGTTGAAATGTTGCACCATCACATCACAATAAAAGGCATTGAAATGTACCATTACCATATGAGTATGCTGAGCATGGAGTTTAATGAAAGAGTTAATGAATCAAACTAAGGCCACAGTATTTATCCTTATGCCTGCATGAATAAAATAAAGGTGTTAGGTTTGAAAACACTGTGTGCCCTGTCTTCCTTTTATCTTACAATTCCTTAGGTTACAGCTAAAAAAAGTTTGTGCTGAATTCCCTCAGGCTTCATGTTGTAGCCACCAACATTTCCTCAGGTTGGAACCAGTAAAACCAGTAGAGAGGGGTGCTGCCAAAGTGACAAAATCTGCTCTGCAAGTTGCTGCAAATTATGATGTAGTGTGTCTGTGATGAATACACCTGTGTACTTTGCATACTCACTCCAGTTGCGTAAAGCTTGCAGATTTCCCTGCCTCACTCTTTTACCTGTGTCCCTCTGTGGATGAAGACCCAGCTCCAGAACAGGTGTTCACACCCAGATTAACGCTTGCTGTCTCACTTAAACACAATTTTTTCCTCACTCTCAAAGCATTTTCTGAAAACATTGTTATAAAGCTGAAAAACAAAGAGCAATCATCACATTAAATTAATATCATTGTGAAGGACGTTATTATAGGCTCAAATATGTTATCTACTGCCATTCACGTACAGGAGGGGGGCAGAAGATTAGAGAATGTTTGCTTTAACTTTTAACAGTTGTGTTTACAGACACAAACTATGTGCAGTTTCTAAAGCAGAGGCCTCCACATACCAGCTATTAGACCTGCCGCCATGTGTTTCCCAGACTGTAACGGATGTTGGCAGGACCCAGTTGCAGCAAAACACATCACAGGTAAGACTGGTAATGACTTTTATTTGCTGGAATGAGGGGGAGCAGGTGAGCAGCAGTATAGTCAGGTTACTACACAGGACAATAGTCGCTTGGGCTTTGGGGTGGACCCGGGGGTCGGCGCTGGAGAGTTGTGAGTCAGGTGCGTGGAGCGAGGTGACAGATCTCGCACACACTGGGGAAAGTTAGGTGTGGCCGGCCAGTGGGAGTGAAACGGAGGCGGGGGAGGTGGAAAATTACTGAAGCCACAGTTGAAGGCAGAGCAGGCTGTGACACAGCCTGACTCACTGACTCTGGCTGATATTTGTTAGTTAGTGTTCATCTTTGTACAGTTTCACCTTGTTGAGTCTAAACTGAGCATCAGCAAGATCACCCCTCATGAACGTTTTGTTCCAGGTGCCTTTAAAGTATATGACATTGACCAGCACCAGCTTGGTCGTCTCGTCTTTGACTTGGTGACAATATTGAAACCACATGGAACCAGTGAGAAGTAACACCACACAGTCTAAACAGTGTTTCCATCCAAACAAAGAATGTAGTTTTATGAAACATAAACAAGAAAAAATGAAAAGCTCCTGTTTTTCTAGGCCTATTTACTACATAACTTACCACACAGGCACATAGGAGAGTTTGATTTAATGAAAAGGTGATGGACTCCCACACACACACTGCAATAAACTGATGGTGTGTATGTTAGTGTGTGTGTGATCCAGCTTGTGTATGCTTCTCCACCCTGCTGTTGATGTTGACTCTCGCTGCCTCAAAGCTGGTTCTGAAGTCAACAGACAACATATTTATGATCTCACTACAACTAAATCATCTCATTTCTTCATTCAGTCTGTGATGATGTGATGATTTAATTTGATTAGACATCTTAATCAGGACTCAGTTTGTCTGGCAGCTGCTTATAGAGGATTGACACCAGCCCACCCTGCAATGCCATGAATGTGTACCATTGCAAACACTTGTTCTGCGCTCTAATGACTACAGAGACTTGTGTGTGTTTGTGTCTGTAGCACCTTTGACATGTGGGTTGCCTCTGGGCCCCGGCATCACCAGAGCTGAAGCAATGCTTACAGGAGAGAAGCAGACAATCCAGATACTACAATCGTATTATCTCTTCATCTGATTAGTATCTTTCATTGTATTGACAAAATTTAAGAGTATTCAGATCTGAACACAGTCTCACAGTTGCTGGAGGTGCTGCAGCTGTTTCCTCTGGGATTATTGAGTCTGCTCAGCTCTGGGAACAGGAGGTGGAGGTGAACTATATAGCCTATTGTTTGTAATGTAAAATTTACTTTATTTGTTTCCTTACTGGACCAAGGCTTATAATCAGTGATGAGCGGGCTAAGATACACTATACACCGTGCTTATATGTCAGAAATGAATACACCTAGCCTGATTGAAGGAACTGGAAGGACTTGTATGTTTGACTTATGCCAACAATTATTTTCATTAGATGGTTTAAATAATCATCATTGATTTTTTCCAATTTAAACTGACAAAATCGGCCTCTGCTCCTACCTGATATCTCTGGTGTTTTCCCACTCAACCCGCCTCCGTCTCACTCTTCACTCTGCCACACCTCCTCATCAGCCTCACCGTCCCCACCTGCATTCCAGCTCCAATTAAGCTAGTATTTAAGCAGCCATGGTCCACTCACTCATTGCCAGGTTATTCTCCGTATTCATGCAAGACTGTCCAGCGTTCATCTCCGGACTGACTTCCTGGTATCGAACCCGCTTGTCTCTGACCATCCTGCCGCGTCTCTTCCGCGGCAAACGCGACAGCCTTCTGTCCCCGACCATGAGCTCTGCCTGTGCCCTCCCTGGTTCCCGTCTGTCTGTGGCTGTTTGGCGTTCTCCAGCTCCGACGTTGCCACGTGAGTTTCCCACCCGTCTTACCTGTGGGATTCTCACCGTCAGACTCCTGCCTCGTCAACCTAGCTTTCCTCGTGGGTTCGTCTTGTGAGTATGTAACAGTTGAATATATGAAATGTGCCTTTAACGTGTGTCGCTTACCAGTGATGTCATAAAACTGCGTTTGTTATGGTTTGAGTTAGTTGAGAGCATGCTACTACGCTGGTCGGATGTATATCCCCGACTCCTTGCTCCTTCCTACTTCCCTCAACTCAGTGATGATAATAAGTCCGTGTGGTAACTATGTATTTCATGTATGAATATATATAGCAGCCGTACAACCGGGCTTTGTAAGGTTGGAGTGTTTTAAGTTTATGTACAAATAAACGACGAGTATTTGTGAAATCCCACACTCTGTCGATGTGCCTTTCTACCCGCCTTCTCACTCCAAGCTACACACGGACCCAAAATCGTCACAAGTACTTCCCTTGTCTTTTAAAGCCGCATTGGTCAACATGTGTGGCTATGGCAGCTGTCTGTGTGACTACACTGAGCAGGAGGGGGGAGGGGAGGGTTTACAGACACTCGCATTTTGTGTTTTGTTTTTCACTGTACATGGTTGCACATTTTAATTTATATTTTGTTGAGTGGTGTTTTTTCACAAATTAAAATGGGTCTTTTTTTTTTTTATTTAAAATTTATTTATGTATATGTTAAGTTATGTTTATTAATAAAGCCATATACATGTTTATATTATGTTTTTTTTGCATTAGTTATTCATTCTACACATAATTTGGTAATAAATTAATTTAAAAAAAAATTTAAAATCTGAGGAGCCACTTGGGCTCCGAAAGAGCTGGCTCTTTTTAGTGAGCCAAGCCAAAAGAGCCGGCTCTCCACAAATTCCCATCACTACTGCTCAGTGGGAAACCTCCAGCCCTGGCCTTATAATGCGGGTTATTTACAACTTGACAACACTTGAGTTAGTTTAGTTTATTTCGTTTTTGATTGCTTATTATAATATTTTTTTAATTTACAAGGTTTTCGTGTTCTTTAGAATTTGTTTTAAAAATTCTAACGTGAACATTTGGAATAATAGATATGGATGACTCAGTGCTGAAAGAAGTTGCAGGGGCCAATAAGTCAGTTAAACAGATGTATTATTTCCAGACTGTGTAAAGGCTTCATGACTAATAAATCTCATACCACAGAGTATGTTTCAAAGGAAGAATAGTACAGCTACTGTGACTTTCAATGGGAATGCAAAAGGTACGCACGTCCACGTCTTTGTCTGGCTGCTGTCAGCTTTCTAATGAGTGATTTGATATCACTAGTGATTGAGAATGATAGATAGATAGTGATAACACATTTTTAAATGGTCAAATTTTGTTATTAAAGTAAAGTATTGTTCTGAAATGACCAGTCTCTGTTACTATTGGCAGACTTACCAAAATAAGAGCAAAACACTAAAAACAGATGCACAAAAAACCCTTAATTTCACCCTTAATGTTTCCTTAAAATGTTCACTTCACTATTTAAGGTTTTCTCCTTATTCTGGTCTTATATTTAAGAAATCACTTAAAGTCAGTTAAACCATTGTAAAACACCTGAAGTTAAGATCTTCCTCACACATTTTGTGCTTTATTTCATTTTTCAGAGGAAAATATTTAACTTTTTCTCCACTATATTTTCTTAATTTAAATAAGTTAAATAATTAGATTTTCAATAAGTTACACTCACACTGTATGATCAATATTCAACATGGAAAATATGATAAGGAAATATTATATATGTCATGTCATATGATTATATTAAGAAGAAGTCCATTCAGGAATCAATAGTATCTAATTGAATGATTTTATTGTCCAAATTAGAGTTTGAATTAGAGTGTGGGAAAAACCGGAGCACCCGGAGGAAACCCACGCCAGGACAGGGAGGAACTGGGTCCAGTGGTGGTCCTGGCTTCAGTAACGAGGCCAGAACCACCAGTGAGCCCAGTTCCCCCCTGTGTGGCACAGTGTAAACTAGTGATAGGAGACAGGCCAGGGCTGTTCACCAGCAGTTGACACTGGCAACAGTGAGGCAACAGTGCTATCCGCTGCGCCACCGTGCCACCTTCAGGAGTTTACAAAAAGATTATGGCCAAGATGAACCACACGCCACAAACAGCGCCGAGACTTATAGCGGGCCAGAAGAGTTTACTGCGTGAAGATGTCTTCTTCTTGTTGTTTGCAGACACAGTCGCGTGCTTTGAGATGTGGTCTTGTAAACTGTTGATGATGACTGCTTCCACGCTTGGTTGCTCTGACAGGATTACAAACTTAAGAGAGCTCTTCCCACCAAGCTTCTTGGTGAGATCCTTGATGACGGCCTTGCAGATCTGTTTGATGTCTTTGTGTTCAGGGCAGAAACCGTCTCTCACAGTGAGTCCCTGCAGCGTTTTGTTCATC